CTGAGTGCTCCAGCCAGGGAGTGCGGGGTTGCAGATAGACAGACACATGACAGGGGAGGGGACAGAAGAGAGAACTGACGACTGTAGTCATCAGGAGGGAGGGAAGAAGAAACACGTAAGCCCAGACTACATTGGAACAAGAACTGCTTTGAGGAGCTGGTCCCTGATACTGTTAAAAATACAAACCAAAGCCAGTCCCAGTGGATGCCTACAGTCACATCCCAGCAGGGCCAGGCCTGTTCCATCACTGGACAGGTAGCCTCTCTTGCCCGTTCTGCAGACATGGCTGGGGGCATCATTCTGCATTTTATTTGCTCTTCAATAAATTTTAATTGACATCTGCTATTGCTCCCCAGAAACTGGAAGTGGGTTTTTAACACTCTTCCCCCAGGCCTGCAGCCAGGATGGGTGCCTTAGGCATAGCGGAGGAATTGAATTTGCTTGATCTTGTTCATTTCCCAATAATTCCATCATCTCTTTCTCCTCCTGTATGCTGAATTTATTTCCCTAACTCGGTCTTCCTCAGTCATCTCTATGTGGACATTTTGCTAGCATGGCCCATGAAGGTCGGGGGATCACTGGGTCACAAAGCTTCACCACACCCTAAATGGATGTTGCAGCAAATAAGAGGTGACCAGGTGTGTTTGTGGGTGAGAGTACCATGGCTGGGGTGGGCACAGATAGGGAGTGAATTGAGGGAGGCAACATCCTCTTACTTCACTTAGGGTTCCCAATACCAAGAGGTATAGAATTACAGAACACTAGAACTGGAAGGGACCTCGAGAGGTCATTGAGTCCAGTCCCCTGCCCCCACAGCAGGACCAAGCACTGTCTAGATCATCCCTGACTGGTGTCTGTCTAACCTGCTCTTAAATATCTCCAGTAATGGAGATTCTACAACCCCTCTATGCAATTTATTCCAGTGTTTAACCACCCTGACAGTTAGGAAGTTTTTCCTAAAGTCCAACCTAAATCTCCCTTGCTGCAGTTTAAGCCCATTGCTTCTTGTCCTATCCTCAGAGGCCAAGGAGAACAGTTTGTCTCCCTCCTCCTTGTGACACCCTTTTAGATACTTGAAAACCACTATCATGTCCCCATGCCGAATGCAGGTAGAAATCTCCTTTCTAAACTAAACAAGCCCAGTTCTTTCAGTCTTCCCTCATAGCTCATGTTCTCTAGACCTTTAATCATTTGTGTTGCTCTTCTCTGGACCTTCTCCAGTTTCTCCGCATCTTTCTTAAAATGTGATGCCCAGAACTGGACACAATTCTCCAACTGAGGCCTAATCAGCACAGAGTAGAGCAGAAGAATGATTTCTTGTATTTTGCTTGCATCGCTCCTGTTAATGCATCCCAGAATCAGGTTTGCTTTTTTTGCAACATTGTCACACTGTTGACTCATATTTAGCTTGTGGTCCACTATGACCCCTACATCCCTTTCTGCCGTACTCCTTCCTAGACAGTCGCTACCCATTCTGTATGTGTGAATCTGATTGTTCCTTCCTAACTGGAGTTCCTTCCTAAGTGCAATATGCTTCTCCTGACCCTCAGCAAGTCCACGCTGTGGCTGTGGCAGACTGGTGCAAGTCTCGTAACGTCCCTTGTGTCCCCCTTGCCTGGCAATGGTGTCAATGTGGCTAGTAAGCAAAATGATCCCCAGCCACCAGCTTGACAGTCCAGTGCAAGGCTGTCACATTGTGGCTGGGACTGGCTTGATGATCTAACATAACAACCTCTCATAGCCTTTTACTGCTACATTTCTCTGACTAAAACCAGAATGGCTTCATATAATGCCCTGCCTGTTTTTCCATGACAAGTGGAACTTTGGGATGCAGACACAGAGGAGCAGAGTTTCAAAGTCAGAGGCCTTCAGCTGAGCATATACAGCTGAATGCACCTAGATTATGCTCACAAATACGGTGCACCCACAAAACAGGTTTAAATACATGCACAAGGTCAGTATGGGGGGGGGGGGGTGTATGTGTGTGCACGTGCACCTATGCAAATACTTGATCTGCATGTGCACATCAGGCATCCACAGATGAATGCCCACAATCACTGCCTATGGCAGCCTTTGGCCTGTTTTATGCAGGATATCAAACCAAATTATTATAATGACCTTAAAGTCTGTGAATACATGAAACTGCATGTGCCTGTGGAAACCCACATGGAACTTGGAAGGAGTGGAACAGGTGACAGAAGGGAAGAGTTTGCACTCAGATGTCAAGATGTTTGCACTTGGCAAGGACTAATACGTTATAGCTGGAGCTACTCTTTGAAGAATTGTTATGATAAAGAGCCATTTGGGTTTACTAAGACTGAAGTTTGCTCATGTTATTATCAAACACACAGTACATAAAAGTACCTAGCTTTGAAAATCTAATGCTGTGTGTCAAAAGGCCTGATCATTGTTGTTTTCTGGTTGTATTTCCTGGGCCTCATTCTTAGTTATACAGACCTGTTAAATGTTTACATTCTTTACAGTCTTTTTATATTGCCATGCAATGAGAATCAGGCCCTCTCTGCTCAGGAGGAATTGCAGAAACCCAGTAAGTGCATGACTATACTTACCAGAAGATCAACGATCTGGAAGTTGATCTTCTGGCATTCAATTTAGGGACCCTTAAATTGAACACTGAGGGCAGCTCCTGCCAGTGTCCGGTATTTCTCCTTTTGTGAGGAGTAAGGGAATCCGATGGGAGCATTTGCTCCCATCATCCTCCCACAGTGCGGACACCACCAAGGCTTGGCTTAAGGTAAGCTGACTCCAGCTATGCATTTTATGTAACTGGAGTTGCATACTGTAAAACCTGACCTTCCTGGTCTAGTATAGACCAGGCCTAACACTTCCCCATATTCTTGAACTAAACAGATCACTCTCAAAGTCCAACAATGGCCTTTTGACCTTGCCATGCCAGATGCAGATTGCGATGTGTTAAATCCAGTTGTCCTGGCTCCCATTACTGCTACAGAATGGCATTAAATTAAGCAGCTGGACCATTAACACCATAATCAGATTGAAAGAGCCACAGCTTGCTCAGACACCTTTGACTGTGTCTGAGATTTTAAAATCCAAACTGGAGGAAGGCATGACTTTGTGAATATGTATGTGTGGTGGGAATATCTGGTTCTTTGAGTATTGGGAGGAGATTTTTAACCAAGTATTATTAATGTTGGGTGACTATTATCCAATGATTTGTTGGTGAATCCTTCTGGGGCTTCAGAAAATGGTCACACTCGCTGTAATGAAGAATTAATCTCTATTGGCCGCTGAACAAGTTTCTCATTAGAGAAGGGAAATTTTGCCCAAACTAAAAGAATGGTTCCATAAAAAACTATGGAAAAACTAACCCATCAGATCTATACACAACAAAATGGACAGAAGACCAATAAATAACTTAAGTTACCTTTCATGCAATCATCAGAGAAAGTAGATTTGCCTGAAAACAAACAACTGCTTTGATAAGTGTTAAACATAACTAAAGTGAACTTACTATGGATTGCTGGTAAGTAAAGGCAGAATTGTTGATCAGTTCAAAAAAATCTTCAGCAGCAATATACATTGACTTGTATAAAGATTTTTCATTGCCTGAGATTTTAATAACCTGCCCAACAGATAATCCCGAATATATCTTTGCACAACATCTCTTTTAAACAAAAAGTGATACAGACATTGTTATATTTGTTAATATTGTATCTTTAGTACTTGTATGGCTGAGAAGTAAAATCCCTTATGGTTCCTAAATAAACATCACTGGACATATACACTGAAGTTGTTTACAAGTCTGCTACAGATTTTTAGCTAACATAGTTGATGTTTTAGCTCAGATAGGAGAGGTGCATGCTTTCAGAACCATTGAGCATAGGTCATAAATATACACAAGAGAACAGAGGTCCCACCTCAAACCTCTCAGCCAATCAAAATATGGAGCTAAGTGACAGCTCTTTAAAATGCTTGTTGTTTATTAACAGTAGTCTCCAGGTAGTCGATCTTCTAGACAGAATAGAATGGTTATACCAGAAGAAAGCTTAGGACTATTTTCACTAACATGTCTCTCTCCCCTCTCCCTTTTTATCATTTTTTCTGTGCAGATAGGAAAATTTTTTGGTGAAGTGGATGGCTCAGTAATGACCCAACTCCAAAACATGGGAATGTTCAGACAGTAAGTGGAGCTCACCTCTGTGCCTTTCTTCTGTTAAGTGATACAGGTGACAATGAAATGTGTAGCTGGCTATAAAGCCAAAGAGGGAAACATGAGATGGGACAGAAAGTTAAATTGTTTATTTCCATAGCATCTACCCCCTTACCAAAATCCTCACTAGAGTTGCTAGCTTTCTAATCACACAAAACCAAACATCCCTTCCCTGTACCCTGCCCCACTCCTTCCCTGAGGCCCTGGCCCCGTTAGCTCCATCCTCCCCCCATCCCTCCATCACTCACTCTCTGACACTCACTTTCACTGGACTCAGGTTTGGGTCATGGGAGGTAGGGCTCTGTTTGGGGGAGTTAAGGCTCCAGGTGGGTCCAAAAATAAGGGGTTATGGGTGTGGGAGGGAGCTCCAGGCTGGGGCACTGGTTTAGGATGTGACAGGAAATAACTCTAGCGAGGGGTGCAGAGTCTAGGGGGGGTAGGGATGAGGAGTTCAGGGTATGGGAGGAAGTGCCACGCTGGGGCAGGGTTGGGATGTGGCGGGAGGTGAAGGATGTAGTCGGGATGTGGCTAGGGCTGCAAGTTCTTGGTTGGGCCATAAATTAGGGATTCAGGGTATGGAAAGGGTTCTGGGCTGGGGCAGAGTTTGGGTACAGGAGGGGTTTTAGGGCTGGGGCAGGGGTTGGGGTGTGGAGGGCTCCATCTGGGGGTGCAGACTCTAAGATGGGGGTGGGGATGAGGGATTTTGGATGCTGGAGGGTGCTCCAGACTGGGATTGAAAGATTCAGAAGTTGAGGCATGAGAAAGCATCAGGGGTGCAGGCTCCAGGCTGTGTTTACCATAAGCAGCTCCAGAAAGCAGCAACATGTCCGTCCGTCCCCTCCAATTCCTACATGGAGGCACATCCCCAGGTGCTGCCCCTGCAGCTCCCATTGGCCACAGTTCCTAGCCAATGGGAGCTGCAAAGCTGGCACTTGGGGCAGGGACAGCATCTGGAGCTCCCTGTCCTGTTCCTGTGCATAGTAGGAGCTAGAGTGGGGACATGCTGCTTCCAGGAGCTGCACAGAGCTTCAGCAGGGAGGAAACCTGCCTTAGCCATGCTGAACTGCCAACCGGACTTTTAACAGTTTGGTGAGAGGTGCTGATAGGACCCCTCAAGGTCCCTTATGACCAGGCATTCTGTGCAAAAAACAGACACCTGGCAAGTGTCTCACTTCTTATTTTCTCCCTTCTCCTGCTATGCCTCTCTTGATTACTGGATCTAGCTACTGCAAAGCATTATGAAATTAACTAAATTCAAAATTGCCCCAGTCTTGTATTGTGTGAACTCCACCTATGTATTAGTTCCATACATTAGATGGTGCTAGACATATACAGAAAACTTCTCCTCTTTTGGTTGAAAGCTTTTCAGTTTCTCATCACATCTTGAAATACTTTAAAGGATTGGTTGGCTGTCAGAGACCTCTCCAGTAGCTGCAATGCAGTTGATTGAAACTGTTTTCCCTTTGAACAGCCTTCCCTTGGTTTAGCTGGACACTAATATACTAATACTTCAGTAAGTTAAAAAAAAATTAAACATTTAGATGGATTAAAAAAGAGGCAATTTCAATTGTCGATATTGCTGAACTTGTCAAATGTTTCTGAATCATCGTATTTCGCAAATGATTTTAACTCATTTCAATACAGCAAAAGAGAATGTTCACCAGAATCATTTGCGACAGGTATTGTTAAAAATATTTTTGGAATGATTTCTACATTTTGAAAGGTTGCCTGCAAACCATCATGTACAAGTCTATACAAATCAACTGGTGATCTCAAAGCACAGACCTCATCGTTTTTGATAAAATGAATGAAATGTTTCACTTCATCTTCAAAAAAATTTGTCTATGTTCTCTCAGTAGAATTCACATAATTTCTTACTGTAGTGGCTTTTAGCATCTTCATCCATACTTCTGTCAAAAAGCATGCAAAATAAATCAACAGTTTTTTTTAGAGATTCATCTCTACTCTGCAACTGCACTTTTATTGTCACAAATAACACTGACGATCTCAATGATGATCTTCTCTTTGTTCATTGAAAAATAACTTCCTGGGTTTTTTATTCTTCTCATCAGATATATCAGAGCAATCTATATTTTTTGTTTATGTTAGTGCCTCAGCGTCTACGGACCTATAGTCGTTTTGAACTTTCATGACAAAATGCTAATAATTGTGCAGCATTTGATAAATTGGTATCAACTTTTTGTAGTGATTTGCTGATGGCATTAATTTTTTGAAGTAAACAGTCCAACAAAATAGTAAAAACAGCAATATCTCACTTTTCAAACTTTTTTTGCTAAGGGTTTTGCTTCAGTTTTTGCACATGGTTTTTCAGACTTTGATGTGGCTATGTATTATAAAGTTATCTTTATAACATCATAGCTCATTTTCAAAGACAAAACAGCATCTCCACAAGCAGACCACCTGGTGTCACAAATTCTTTTGACTATCAAATGTTTTCCATATGTCTGCTCCAAGTGTGATTGTAGCATACTCTCCAATGTGTGGAAACTGGAAAAAAAAAAGCATACATGTTTTGATTGAAATTAAAAAAATCTGTAGCTCCCTCAGAAGATGCAGTGTTGCAGATTAAATTTAAGGAATGGCTGGAACATGGTATGAATAAAGCAGAGGGATTTGCATTCAGTCTTGCCTGTAGACCTCAATATTCTCCTGACATACCTGTGGAGTTATCAAAGCTCTGCATACGACAATTTTTTATGTCCAAACCTAAATTTGCAATCATTTCCAAAACTGTTGTCTCTAGACATTCAGAGGCATGTGATTTTTGTGGTACAAAAAAAAAAAAAGAAATCACTCTACAACTTCACCATTGCCAGTCGCATATCTTAAAATTAATGTTAATTGGTCTACATGATTCACATCTGGTGTTGAATCGACTATTATGGAATAGTACTTGGCATCCTTTATTTCATCTGTGAATTGGTTTCTGGGCTGCTCTGCCATTATAGTAATGAATTCATTGTAGGTTTGGCACGTTAAAAAGTTGGTCTTCCCTGAGCCATAATACTGATAATTTTTCAAATGTTCATTGCGACAATTGTCAAACTCACTAAGATATTCAAAGCAGGTTAAAAAATTACCTTTTCAATTTGACACTGATGACTCTCCACTTCCTCTCTAGAGATAGTCCCAAAGAAGACAGCAGTTTCACGGTGGCAATAACACATCTCATCACTTTCCTCCAATAAGAACACTCCTCAAACTGAGCTGATAACGCAGAATCAATTATTCTGGATAATTTACATCCGGGACGGGGAACGTTTTTGGGACAGGGATCACTTACCCACATAAAAATCAGTCAGGGGCTGCAGACAAGTGGGACAGCAGAGGGGGCGGAGCACCAGTATGGGCTCCCCAATGCTGGTGGGGGAGCCCTGAGCCCTGGGGGCCGGATCCAGGAAAGCCAGGGGTCACATCCGGTCCCCAGGCCTTAAGTTCCCCACTCCCAATTTACATCTTTGAACACACTTACACACAGCATTAATATGAGCTTTGGAAGTTTCATAATTAGCAATATCTCTTGCAACATTTCTTCAATTAGAGTGCCCATTGACAAATGTTTGTTTTCCTTTACTATGGTCAGGGAATAATTTGCAAACATTAACAGTAGACTGCCTTGGTGGTTTCCCAAAAAATCAACCACTTTCTAATTTCTGTTGTTCCATTTTTCTTCATCCTCAGAAAATGGGACTCATGAAAATCCCTAAATTGCTTTTGGCCTCCAACCTCATACTCTTTTCTCAATATTAGCTAGGTTTTTTGTCTTATTTACTAAGAAATATTCTATCATATCCAATTAAATGGATTTTGGCCATAATGCAATGTCTTCAGGGTAGGTTTCTTCCCTTACTTTGACAAAATTACCAATAATTTGTTGTTCCATTGCCACTTCAGAGTCCACTTGTTCAACTTTTGCAGTCATCGGGATATCCCCACAACTGGGCAAGAGATCAAATAATTGAACTGTTTCCTCCCCCATAATTTTTGATGAATATAGCAATAAGGAGTTTAATGTTAATTATTCTTATAATACAGGTTGCATCTCCCTAAACCGGAACTCTCTGGTCCAGCAACATCTGTGGTGTGGAAGGACCATGAATGTTCAAGGATCAGAGAGTCCCGACGTGCAGAAGAGGGGCGGAGAGACCAGGAGCCCGGTACTATGCAGGGTGTGGGTGACGTGTGGCCCGGCAGGGCTCCGGGGGGAGAAGAGAGAACCGGGGCAGGGACACAGGGCAGTGGGGGGCCAGAAATGACTTACCCTGGTCTGGAAAAATCCCTCATCTGGGACCAGTCAGGTCCCGAGAGTGCGGACCAGGGAGGTCCAACCTGTAGTTAAAAAATGTAGTTTTGTTAAAACTGAGGTGAATTCCAACCAATATCAAACAAGTACTGTTAGGTTCTAAGGCTATAAAACTTTACTTTACTCTGTTGTCAGTGGACTAATCATCCATTGATAGACTTACATTAGAAGGAGAAAGTCTAACTCTAGTACTGTGTAAGTAAAAATTGCCCACTTGTTTGCTTTAAATACTCATTTTTCTTTTGAATCAAGATGAGTTTTATCATTCACAGTGTTGCCTAGTGATCCTTTACTAAACAGATTGTCTGTAACCGGCTAGGGCCTCTAATCTGAAAACTAAATTGTTTTTTATTGCACCCTTTTCTTTAGCAACTTCACATATTCATTGGGAACATTTCAACATAAAAGTTACAGAGTCATAACACACCTCTCTCAGTAGCAGCCAGCATTAGCCATGAACAGGACAGTGGACTAGATAGATAATCAGTCTACTCAAGCATGGCAATTCTTCTGTATAAAAATACATCTGGGATGTAGCCTGAATAGGAAAAAAATTCTCACACTTTTCATGGATGGTCACACTTCTTGCTTTTGACTGTGTGTTTTCTTGTTTTGCTTCAATTTTATAGGGTGACAATGTACGACTATCAAGCCATGTGTAAAATGCCCTACCACCATCACAGTGGCGCCCGGCCTCTACTCAGTGTATGTATGTCCCCGCAGTCAGCCCATTGCATGAATGCTCATTGGTAGTTTGGACCAGAACTTTCCTAATGCTTTAAAACACATTCCTATTACAAGATAAGGAGTTGTTTGTTCACAAGTGAGGGGAAACTCAAACCTGACAGATCAGTGCAACACCATTTCCTTCAGCCGTTTACAGGATGCCTGCAATTGGCCCATCACGCCTGTCAGGCATATAGGGAACCACAGAAATCAATGTAATGAACTGTCACCAACACAGTACCAGTCTCTTCTTAGGTTACAATCTGTAGATGGAAGTGGAGGAATTGACTGGGCATTGCACTGTCAGTGTCAGGAGAAAGTCCTCTTAGAAGAGACATTCAGACTACCATGGGAGATGAAGACATGAGGGGACCAAGGTTAAACCTTTTGAGAATAGTATGTAGGCCAGGAAATACCTAAAAGGTAGGTAGTTTGGGCAATTGGCAATCCACTTTAAAGAAAGGCTGGATAGATATGAGGTTAAGATGCTGTGTTATCTAAAGCAGACAATGATAACTGTAGTGCAAGTCTGCTAATGCCACAGCTTGTACCAAAAGTCCCATCAGATAACAGCTTTCTAAACTGGCATTGTCTTCTTTAGTAAGTTTATTTCTTCCCTGTCCTGTGCTCTCAAGGCTATGCATGCCAGAGGGAAATCATTAAGTAATAGATCTTCAAAGCTCCATTCACATTTGTAATACATTTTCTGACCTGATGTGGAGATATTAGTAGTAGTAAGGAGACTTCCAGTGGGCTCCATTCACATTTGTAATACATTTTCTGACCTGACGTGGAGATATTATTAGCAGTAAGGAGACTTCCAGTGCCTTTTGGTGCATTTTGCAAATTTCCCACTGATTCCAAAGAGCTTAAATTCTAGCCCATCTCCAGGGGCAGCGGATATAACAGGCAGGCAAAGACACAGCCTTCCCAAACTGCCATCTTGACCCCACCCAGACTCCACCCCTAGAACACCTACTGTAGGCATATTGGGGACAGTGTGTTGCTGCCCCCGAGAGCCCACCCGTCCTGTGATCCAGGGCCAGGGAGGCTGAGGTTGTGTGTCACTCTCCCATCCTGTGGTGCTGGGGGGAGGGGGAAAGAGGGCTGGGTCCCATGGCAGGGGCTGACTCCCATGGGGGGGGGCAGGGCCTTAGTAGGAGTGGCAGGGTTGGGGGTGGGGCTGGGGCTTGCCTCCCCTAGCCTTGCCTTTACCCACCATCCACGCCCCTCTCCAAGAGAACCTAGATGAAGTGCTGAGTCCTGCAGGTTTGATTATCTTTTCTGTGGCCAGATCTTTATGGCATTTCTCATTTTTCTTTTTCTTCAGCCCATTTATACCTTGCTTGCTGCAGTGAAGTGGCTGATGAGTGATTTCCTCATGTGAGTACCACAGTTTGGGAGGCTCACACCAACAAGGGAGAGATCTAAGACAAGTACAAGCATAGGCTCCTTGTTAAGACGTGACTACAGTAGAACTTCAGAGTTACAGACGACTCAGGAAAGGAGGTTGTTTGTAACGCTGAACAAAACATGATGGTCATTCTTTCAAAAGTTTACAACTGAACATTGACTTAATACAGCTTTGAAATTTTACTGTGCAGAAGAAAAATGCTTTAGTAGTTTATGGTTCACACAGCAATGTACTTTATTTGCTTTTTTGTTTGGTCTCACCTGCTTCCTGATTAAGTACTTCTGGTTCCAAATGAGTGCATCACTGACTAGTCTGTTTGTAACTCTGGTGTTTATATCTCTGAGGCTCTGCTGTATAGACATTTTGGTGACATTCATCACCATAGTATCTGAGAAAATCCCCACAATCCTGTGAGATACAAAAGTAACATTCCCATTTTGCAGACTGGGAAGCAGGGGCACAGAGTGCTCGTGTGATTTGCCCAAGGTCATCACAGTGCAAAGTCTGTGGCAGAACCAGAAATAGCATCTGGATCTCCCAATTTCCAGAGCTGTTCCTTTAACCATTAGACCATCCATCCTTTTTCAGAGCTGACTAGGATCAGTTGAGAGCAACTGTTAGTTGAAAAGAGGTAAACAAAGAAGAAATTAGTCTGTTCAAATAAGGATCCTAGTAACATGCTAGAGACTATACCCTGTGTTTCCTGCTCATGGTGCAGTATACAGAGCAGGGCTGGGGAGTTAAACAGGAGTACTGGTGTCAGCTTCCCCTCAGATTGAGAGGAAGTTCAGCTCTACATCTGGATTCTACGTCCAATGGTTGCAGCTTAGCTCAGTCTTAACATTGGTCTCACACTGAGACACTGAATCTTAAACACCGTTGAACTTTGGCAAAAATCCAGAATCCAAGGCTCCAAGCCCATCTTTAGTACAGATTAGTTCACCAGGCACACTCTGCAGCTGTCAGGGTTTGCACAGTACCTGCTTCTGTCACAGTGATCGATCCTTAAGCCACAGCTGGTTCTCAGGGTGACAGTCATTTCTCATCCTCAAAAGCCACACAGCTGAAGAATATTAACTGAGGGCCTGCCTACACTGTCCTTTAGGACTAAGACACAGTTAGCCATTCCAGAATGACCAAAGCAGAGAGGCCAAGGGTGTGCTGAAAAACTGAAGAAGGATTCAGGGCTTCAGTTGCAAGAAAATGCATATTGCACCTTTTAGGACTTGGTCTCTTTAGGCCTGGGCAGTCCATGTCACCATCTCTGTGACTCCTTTATCAACATGGGCTACTGTAAAATGACCTCTCCTCTTGCTCTTTTGTCAGGTTTCTTTTGGAGTTCAATATTTGTGGCTTCTGGCACTCAGAGAACTTGGCAGATGGTAAGTAGGCCGGGGTACAGCCACCCCCAGAGCACCCAAATGGTAGAGCACCACTCGAGGAAGGAGCTACAACGAGAAGTGTTCCGCCGTGCCACGGCAACACTCCAACTCTGGAATTTAGTTTCCAGGACCTATTACCACCATGTTGAAGATCTGCTGAAGCTCCAAAGCTGAAAAGCTCTCAGCATAAAGTTCCTGTTTCAGTGCCTGGGGCGACCATGACATTATCACGTGACATAAGAGAGTGGTTTCTTCCCCAATAAGTTTTCCTCATATTGGGCTAATTGAATATATGAGTCAGCTGTGGTGCATACTCTGTTGGAAGACTCCCTTGGGTTCTATGGAATTTGATAGCCAACACAGTAAATTGTCTAGGATGGTTTTAAAAAGCCGCTATCATTTGTCATTTCCTACTATATTCTACAGGGTACCTATCAGTCAAGATAATGAAAACAACATTGCACAATAGCAGAACACAACACCTCACTAGAGGCTGGAAGGATCTGTATGAATTATGTTGTATTATAATGTGAATTCTTCACTAGTCATTCATAGGTAAAGCCTGCTTTTGTTGAAGACAATGGCCAAACCCCAAAGTCCACTGTGAGAGTTGGCCTTCTATTGCTCTGCATTTCCCACTATTCTGAAGCACTTGATCTTATACTAATAAGGCAAAATTCATCCCTGTTCACAGAGTCAGGACGAGGCCTAGGCACCATCTAAGTTCCATGTAAGTCCTCAAAATAAAGATTAACTGGGCCTTCTGTGGTGAGGGGACTTGTGTAGGCTTTCTGAACAAGCGTGAACCTCATGCCAAATACATAGCATGATAAATGACATGGGTCCCCCCGAAGGTGTGATATTTCCTTCAAGATCACATAGGTTCTCAGAAGTTGTGTGGTTCAGGGGAGATTAGGTTGCCAAATCCATTCATGCAAAAGAGTGTCCTTGTTAGAAGATACAAGAAGTGAGTGACAGATTTGGTTCTGTGTATCCATCCCTATTTGTTACTTTAAATGGATGTGTTTTGTTTTAGTCATTACTATCTTTGTGCTGGGGAAGGAGAGGATCTGGTCCCTGTACTATTCATCATCACTTCCTTCTCTGCTTTCTTTCATTTTCCCCCTCGCGCCATCCATGACTTCCCCATGTGACTTCATACCTACACTGTGATGCCATCTTGTGTGACCATCTTCATTATGTGACTCGACTAGCCAAAGCCGTCTTTCATCATTGTAAGTAGACTCATAATGAACCATTTGAGTTTCATAGGAATGGAAAGTGAAGGGCCACAAAGCCAGAATCCTTGAACTGGGAAGGAACAAGCAAACCATTCCTTTTCCCCCCCAGGACAGTCCTGAATTTGCAGTGAGGTTTCAGAGTTATGCTGGTAGCGGTGCCTAACTGTAATCCTGTGCATAGCCAATAGATGGTGATAGAGGTGCTGTTATTTGTTCAGTTTGCTGAGGTGTTGCAATGGGTTAGGTAAGTGACAAGTGAATAAAAGGAGGAAAATACTCATTTATTTGGTGATTGACCAGACAAAGCCTAGCCAATTATTACTACAACACTGAGAAATGGCACCTCTGACTCTATAATATCAGCAAGCATGAAAGATCCTTTGACTAATTAGACCTTGTAGGCCACTTGGTGAACCAGCTATCACTGTCTCTCCCTTTCCAGGAGCTATGCAGGAAAAGGAACAAATCATAACCCACTCCTTCAGAAGAAAACAAACCACACAGTTTTATGTACTTCAAATATTAACAAGCTACATAGGTTTTCCTTCCACAACATCTTGGCTTACCTCCTCCTCACTAACTATGGATGTTCCAGGATCAGTGTCCTTGGCATGCTGCTGGGGGTGGGAAGAGCCCAGTAGTATGTGGGGAAGGGTGATGCATGGCTCAGCTGGGCTGTGGGTGGAGGAGGGGAGCTGGGAAGCCCAAGAGGTTCAGCTGGGCTGGGAGCCGGCACATGGCTCAGCTGGACTGGGGAGGGGGCAGGAGCTGGTGTGTGGCTCAGCTGGGCTGCGGGGAAGAGCCGGGAAGCCCAATGGGGGGCCAGGGCAGGGGAGGGCTGGCAGCAGGAGGGCCAGAAATGACCTCCTCTGGTTCAGAAGAGTCCCTCATCCAGGACCTGGAGGGTACTGCACCAGGGTGGTCCAACCTGAATAGACATACTAGATGGGCTGCATGAAAGAAATACTGCATTACTGTAGCACTATTAGGGTACGTCTAAACTACATGGCTCCGTCGACGGAGCCATGTAGTTTAGACGTACCCTAATAGTGCTACAGTAATGCAGTATTTCTTTCATGCAGCCCATCTAGTATGTCTATTCAGGTTGGACCACCCTGGTGCAGTACCCTCCAGGTCCTGGATGAGGGACTTTTCTGAACCAGAGGAGGTCATTTCTGGCCCTCCTGCTGCCAGCCCTCCCCTGCCCTGGCCCCCCATTGGGCTTCCCGGCTCTTCCCCGCAGCCCAGCTGAGCCACACACCAGCTCCTGCCCCCTCCCCAGTCCAGCTGAGCCATGTGCCGGCTCCCAGCCCAGCTGAACCTCTTGGGCTTCCCAGCTCCCCTCCTCCACCCACAGCCCAGCTGAGCCATGCATCACCCTTCCCCACATACTACTGGGCTCTTCCCACCCCCAGCAGCATGCCAAGGACACTGATCCTGGAACATCCATAGTTCTTCTGGACTACGGATGTTGCCAGACCAGAGAGTTCCGGTTTATAGAGGTGCAACCTATACTCCAGTTCTTAAATCAATTCTTGCAGGCCCCTTAAAAATCCCTCCAGATTAGATTGCACTTTCATGCAAAGGAGCAGATCTGTATTCGAGAAGTGGCAAAAAGAGATGCTTGCTTCCACAGATTTCCCATTACACTCAACATCCATTCCATTGTCTTGTAACTCAATGGATCTGGGGCTTCGAGTTCTCTGGGAAATCTAGGTATCTAGGTATTCAAAAACGTATACTAGTACCCATCACTGTAGAAACTATAGTCTTCAATCATTAAAACTGAAAATATGTTCAGAACAAAGCTATGGCACCAAAAGGATTAGTTCTAGAATTCCATGGCAGAAAAAAAAATAGATGTTGATGATATGAAGATGTTTAAGGCAGGCGCTTTACAAAATTATCAAGCAGCTTCTGTTCTCTGTATTTGGGACAAGTTCTGAACTCATTTACATCAATGTAAGTCTAGAATAACTACACTGACCTCAGTGCAGTTACTCATGACTTGCACCGGTGAATATGAATTCCCAGGCTAGGTCATGTAGTCCATAACAAGAAGCTATGGGTTCTTTGTTCCTCAGATGGATTTGTTGCCAGCTGCCTGACAAAGTCTTTCTGGAAGTGAGGCTGCCAATAACAACAGGGAGAAATTAACATGCACTTTAGTATCAAATTTGCAATTTGTTAAATCCCCTGAATTTACACAACCCTCTGACCACGCACTTTAGTATCAAATTTGCAATTTGTCAAATCCCCTGAGTTTACACAAACCTCTGACCATCGTACTAATAGTTTTTAGCATTGCTTTGCTGTCCAGCATGGAGTTTCTCAAAGAAGCTGAAGCACTTTCCAGGTTTAATGTATGTGATACATATATTTATCCTACGTCTTGTATTTCACACAGATGTAGATAAATTCACTGCTGGAAGCTAAACCAATATCAAGTTTTAAACTGTTTTGAGTGTGTCCACAAAGGAGTTTGCATTGGTTTAATTCAATCAGTTTAAATGCACCTTTACCTTTAGATAAACCACTGCAACTTTGTGTAAGACAAGGTGAGTGAGGTAATATCTTTTATCGATCAACTTCTGTTGGTGAAAGAGTCAAGCTTTGTGTAGCTCATACGCTTGACTCTCAAACCAACAGAATAAAAGACATTACCTCACCCATCTTTTCTCTCCCCTATCATGGGACTAACAGGGCTACAGCAGTGCTGCAAGCAACTCTGCAGGGAGACTAGGCCTTAGGACAACACAAAGCTGACACTGGTGGTGTGCTCAAATGGGACTGATTTCTCTTTCTAAGACAACTAAGGCCTGAGCCTCAGCTGATTTGGGTTAGCACAGCTCCAAGGCAGTTACCCCACCTGAGGGCCAGGCCCTATCTTCCCATTTCACAGGTCTGTCCCTTGAGGGCATAATGTTCAAAGCTAAGAGCTGGAGTCTTCCCTCCTTTACAGCATTTTGACGCTGGTATAACTCCATTGACTTTTAATGATGTTTCAGCTGTAAAATTGATTTAACTCCAACTCTGCCATCCGGATGTGGCTACCTGATTTGTTGCTGAGCGCTATTCTGAGATGGAGAACCATTGTAGGTTGTATCCCTTGCTAGAGTAAAGGCAAATACTGTTATTTGTTATAGCTGTATATATCTAATACTTTGAAATTTACTGTGATACTTGCCTCCATAATTCTGTACTGTACTGATTAGCATGCCCTTCCTTGTACTGAATAGAATCAAACTGCTCAGCTCTATATCACAGCCCTATATGATAGGTAATAGAGATTTCTCCATTGACACAAGTGGTAGGGGCCCTGCACTTCTGGAAGAGGGGGACTGACATTCTACCCCCCATTTGCAGAATGACATCATGCAGGAGCGGCCTGAGGCCGGCTGCGGCAGCTGGCGCCCCAGGCGGAAGGCGTGATCGGCGCCCCCCCCTGCACAGCTGTCAATAGCCATGACATCATCATCGGGCACCCGGGTGCCCCATGATGTCATCATCAGGTGCCCGGGCCAGTGGCACCTTAGGCGACTACCTAGTCTACCTAGGCTCACAGGCTACCCCTGACATCATGGGTGGCCATAGAATACAGCACAACCACCAAGATCTTCCCGGTTGCCCACAAAGTTGTTATAGCCTGAAGCAAGGAGTTCCATGAGTGTACAGTAATCCTGAAATTTGAAATTAAGGTTCACTATTTACGCCATAAAGAAGTTGCCAAAGAATTAAAATAGGAATGTATTAGACTGTGCAGTGTATTTGGGGAATTCCAAGAAAAGAACAATTAGAGGCTCAAACTACAGCTATAGCCGGAGATCTATGACTGAGTGAAATGGCATTCATCATATGTGCTGTGAGTCTGTGCTTAAAGCATGGGAGTCAGAATCAAGATCTGGCATCTGGCCCTGGCTCTGTTTCAGCTGTCTATATGATCTTAAGCAAGTCACTTAATCTGTCTGTGCCCCTGTTCTCCATCTGTAACATGGGAATAACAATCCTGCCCTTCTCTCATTCTTTGTCTATCTTGTCTATTAGCTTGTTAGCTCTTTGGGGGCAAGAAAAGTCTCTTACTATGTTTGTACAGTGCTGAACACAGTGGGTCAGCTCTCCAGTCACTACAGTATAATAAAATTATTAATAATTCGTTCTCTGGGTACCTTCAAGACATGGCTGATGATTTTACCAAGTAAAAACTGTTTGTATTATTGTTAGCACCGCAGAGCCAATATATTTATGGAAAAATGAGATATCAATGCTCTGGCTTTGAGGCACAAGCTGCTCACTATCTGAGGTCAAAGAAATCCCCCTTCCCACACCCCAAATAGCTATAGGAAAAAACAATTAAAGATTTACGAAAGCTTTTTAACCTCTCTCACAGACAGCCAGCATTGGCCTGTTAAAGACAGTCTACACCAGGCCTGGGCAAAATATGGCCTGCCAAGCCACCAGATCCAGCCTGTGGATGCTGTGGGGAGCCTGAGGCAGGCTCTCCGCTTGCCTTGCCCCATCCACACACCTTTCAGAAACATGGCTGCAGGGCGGTTTTATCTTGAAAAACTGAGTCTCCGGAGGGCAGGGGGGATGCTTTAGGAGCTGTTCCTGCCCCCAGCACAATCCCATTGGCCAGAAACTGGCCAATGGGAGCTTCCTGTTTCAATAACAGGCAGCCATGAAGCACAAGAGGCTCTAGAGCATATGGCTGCAGCCTGATGCCTGGCCCACTCCCACACAATGTTCCCTGTAAGCTGCAGGGCAGCACAGCTTCACAGGTGATTAATCAGCCCCGCCCAGTCAGAGACTCAAGAGCTCAGGAAGGCTGATTTAGAAATGGGCTGCTAGCTGGTAAGTCTCCTGGCCAAACTCTACCTCTGGCACCCCAGTCCCTTGTTTCTCCAACTCTTTGCCTCCCTCTCCTACACCCATATCACAGTCCCTTCCTGTCTTAGTTCACCCCCAATTCCCTGCCTCCAGTCATAATCCAACCCCCTGCACTGCAGTCCAGTGCCCCAGGTCACAACTGCCTCCTTCACCCCAACTCCCTCCCTTACCCCAAGCTCCCTTCTGCACTCAACCTCCATCCCAGACCCTGTTCCTCCATTAATATCATGGGAGAGTGTGGCCCTCAACCACTTTCCAAAATTTTGGAGTGCCCCCCTCCTACATCAAAAATTATTGCCCACTCTTGGTCTACACAAACAGATCTTTAGTCTAGAGCAATATGACAATCCGTACATTCTTAACCCTGAGAGTAGGTCAGAAGATGATTTCCTGCACAGCAACATGGCCTTATGGTGTTATTAGATTTGCCATGCTTCTCATCCAGGTGAGTTCACTCAGGCAAGAATAACAGTCTGTGCTACATACAGGGTTTTGTAATGCAGTGGATTAAATTAGGGGTAGGATTTTTTTTCTACCAAAATAGTAAAATCAATACACCCCCAACTGGGGACTCAGTTGTATCAGTCTAAAAGTACCTTATACTGATATTGCTTGTTCTCATTTGCTATGAGAATAGTTACATTGATATAAGGTACTGCTTTAACTGCATCCATACTAGAGGAACTGTAGCACTTTAATTATATGAGTATTATTTAAAATAGTGAATTGATAAGACCTAGTGTTACTTTATTGATGTAACCATAGAGTAATACCTAACACATTTCTTCTCCTACACTGGTTTTCCTGCACCACCTACTGGCCTTAAGTATCACTACATTTCATTTTTGTCAGCATCTTTGCCTTTTTTTTTTGCACCATCCACATTTTTCTTTCAATCCATTTCTCTCTCCATTCTCCAACCCTCATTTCTCACTGCATGCCTTTTATGCCGTCACAGCCCACAAGCATAAGAAACATGATATGCTGCAGCCATGTGACACTGAATACCCCGTCTTCGTGTATGAGACCACCATCAAAGAAACCAACGGGCTGATCGAGTGCAGAGACTGCCAAAAGTAAGAAATAAGTCTCTCATAGACCTCTACTCCTTCAGGACTTTACCCATAGACCTCTACTCCTTCTGGAACCTCACTGAAAGGGAACAGTCCCATGATACACTATGCCTGTTTGTCACCAGCATTTCCACAGCACCTCTCATGAGCTACAGAGCTCCCTGACCACATTGTGAGTCATCAGAGGTAGGCAGAAAGGTCAGTCCGAACTCTTGGTTTTAAAATAAAACACAAAACAAAATCTCCTATTAATAGCTAGAGCTGGTTGGGAAATGGGCAAATACCACACACGCAAATCAATCATCTTTCCTGGACAGATTAAAGAGAGGAAAAAAATTGTTTATTCAAAACTTTTACAAACATTTTCTGTTTAAAAAGCTTTCATTTTCCATAGTTTTCAGTTTTCCTTTTTTTCCCCCTATTTGCATTTGTTTCTCTCCCCCCTTACATTTTTTCCACAGAAAAAGAGGGGCAAGGAAAAGAGGAGAAATAAAGGAAAAACTATAAGCCAAAGAAGGCAAAGAGTGGGTAAATTTATTATTTTCCAATTTCATCAAAAAGAGGAATTTTTTTTAAAATGTGAAAGGTTCTAATTTTGAATAAAAGCCATTTTTCAGCAACTAAAATGTGACCAGCTCTTAATAACCCTTACATTATTAAAGCTGAAAGAATTATTAAAATGAGATTTTTTTTTTGCTCTTAGTGCTGGTGAGTTTCACATATTCATTTATAGTCAGCTTGCCTTTTGGGTTGCCATGCACTAGCCTAATGCTGCAGTCTTTGCCACCCACTCACTGCAGGGTTAACCCCCCCCACCACCACCACCACCCCTTTTTAACATTTCTATTGATTTTAGGCTTTGCAAAATCTAATTTTTCACAGAACCCAAGTATGGATGCTAAATGGATCTAACGGATCCTAGGTAACTATAGACCGATTAGCCTAATATCAGGCTCAGGCAAAACAATGGCAAAGCTGACATGGAATTCAATTAATAAATAATTCAACAACAGGTATATAATTAATGCTAGTTGTCATGGGGGTTTTGAAAAATAGGTCTCGTCAACCATAAGTGCTGACTTCCCCTCTAGCCAGAGGATTCTCAGGCTCTCCTCTGCCCCTGGCCCTGCCCCTACCCCATTACACTGCTTCCCCTAAGCCCCGACCCACCTCTTCCCTGCCCCCTCCCCCTGAGCACACCCTGTCTCTGCTCCTCCTCCCTCCCAGAATACCCTGCACTCCATGCAACCACAATTTGCAGTAGGTGGGAGGCGCTGGGTGGGAGGGGAAGGAGTTGCTCAGAAGGGTCACTGGCGGACAAGAGGTGCTGGGAGGAAGGAAGCAACTTGGCTGCCGCTGGATGCTCAGCACCTGCTAATATTTCCCTGTGAGTGTAGGGTTGCCAGGTGTCTGGTTTTGAACTGGACAGTCCAGTATTTGAGCTCTCTGTTCCGGAAACAAATTGAGAAATTATAAATGTCTGGTATTTTCTACATAAGATGCAATGTAGATTGTGATGTAATGTCCAGTGTGTCCGGTATTTTTGTTGGTATTCTACATAAGATGTAATGTAGATTGTGATGTAATGTCCAGCGTGTCCGGTATTTTTGTTGGTATGTGGGTGCGCCAGCCCCAGAGCAGTCACGGAGTTGACACCTCCGTTGTCATTTAAACCCGATTTCATTCTTTGAGGAGACTAAGTGTGGTTGAGAACGGTAACAGCGTAGCAGCAATAAGCTTCTTCAAGACATTTGACTTAGTCCCACATGACACTCTGATTAGCACTAGACAGTATCACTAGACTCCAGGTCAGGTTCCACAGGGAGCAGTACTAGGCCCAGGCCCACCAATGGCGGGTTGGGTGGGAAAGGGGCAACTGCCCCGTGGCTCAGCGATTCAAAAGGGCTGCAGCCTGAAGCTCTCTAACTCGCCACCGGAGCACTGCACACTCTGGGAAGTGCTGAGGGCTGCCTGCAGGAGGCTAGTCCTAACCTCGCCCCTTCTGCCCGAGGCCCTCTTCCTTCCAGGGCACAGAGCCAGCCCCTCCCCAGCCCGCACCTTGCCCAAGGGCCCCCTGAGTAGGCCCAGTGATACGCACCATTTTTATCAAAGAGCTGGAAGTAAACATAAAATCGTGGCTAATAAAACTTGCAGGTGACTCTGATGGCAGAGCGTGAAATAACGATAAGGACAGTGAAGTCATGTGGAGCCACCTGGAACACTCAGCAACCTGGGTCCACGCACACACAAGGCTTTTCAATACAGACAAAGGCAATGTTATGTATCTAGGGCCAAGGCCTGCAGGCCGTGACTACAGAATGGAGTAAATGCTAGAAAGCAGTGACTAAAAAACAATGTAGGGAGCTTCACAGGGGACAAGCAGCTCAAGGGGAGCTCCCAGTGCAATCATGAGGGGAAAGAGCTAGTGTGGTCCTGGGATATGTGTATAGGGTGGCCAGTTTTCTAACTGCACACAACTGAACTCTGCTTACCCTGCCCTCTCCCCGCTTGCACATGGCCCTGCCCATTCTCTGAGGCACCACCCCCTTCCTCAGTCACCCACTTTCCCCCATACTCACTCACTGTCACTGGGCGGGGGCAGGGTGTGGGAGTGGACTGGGGGGTGAGGGCTGCAGCTGGGGGGAGGCTTTGGGGGGCAGAAGAGAGCAGTTGGGGGGAGGGAATTCCATGCTGGGGCAGCAAGTTGGGGTAAGGGCTCTGATTGGGGATGCAGGCTCTGGGGATGGTGGCAGGGGATGAGGGATTTGGGGTGTAGGTGAAAGCTCTGTACTTGAACCAAGGGGTTTAGGGTGTGGGGGCAGGCTCAGGGCGGAGGCAGGAGGTTGGGGTGCAAGTGGGGATGCAGGGCTTGGGAGGGATTAGTGTGCAGGGCAGGGGTCTGACCTGAGGCAGGGGAGCGCGATGCAGGCGGGCGTTCTTGGTGTGGGCTCCAGCCAGGCGGTGCTTGTATCACTCAGCCGCCAGTCAGCAGCGTAGCAGGGCTAAAGCAGGCTTCCTGCCCAGTCTGGTTCCACACTGCTCCTGGAAGCAGATGGCATGTCCAGCCACCTAGGCAAACGTGTGGCCAGGCAACTCTGCATACTGCCTGTGCCCGCGGGACACCACCTCCGCTGCTTCCCTGGCCTGTGGTGGAAGGCATATTAAGAACCAATGAATGTAAACTGAGGCCAGACAAATTCATCTTAGAAACAAGGCAAAAGTTTTTGACAGACAATTAGCTATTGGAACAAGCTACCAAGAGAAGTGACTGGGTTTTTCAGCTCCTTGTGTTAGGGCTAAAGCACATCAAGACCACCTGCCTTTCTGGAAGATGTGCTTTAGTCAGTCACAAATACCGGTTATTGGGTTCAATACAAGTGTAACTGGGTGGCATTTAAAAGATCTCTGATATAGGAGGAGGATCAGATTAGATGGTCTAACTCAGGGGTCTCCAACCTTTTTAAGCACTAGATCACTTTTTTAATTTGTCAGTCCAGGATCACCTCAAATACCCCTGCTCCACCCCTTTGCTAAGACCCTGCCTTCCTCATTCTGTGAAGATGGGGTACAGGAGACAGTGACAGAGTGAAATCAGCACCCCCTTGCCTCTGTCTCCCCCACCCTGCACAACACGCAGGAGGCTCCCAAGGGCAGCACTGAGGCTCCGGGCAGGAACAGCAGGGCAGTGCGAGGAGGGGCAGCTGAAGTGCAGGCCCTTGCCAGCCTCCCAGCCAAACTGGTCAGGATCACCTGTCAGAGGCTCCAAGATCCTGATCGACTGGTTGGTGACTGCTGGTCTAACTGGTCCCTTACAGTCTATGAACTTCTGAAATGCACAGACTGGGAAGCATACATAGAGCTACTCTTTATTAGAATAAAGATTTAGGGCTAATCTGTGGGTTTACAGCTAGGTGTGGAAGATAGGAGAGGGAACCGTGACCTACTTCCTGCTTCCTCCTACCAGTGACAAATCAAACTTCCAACCTCGTGGGTGAATTGCAAACACGGAGTGTGAGCTTCCAGGGCCCGGTAGCCTTTACAGGAGTATAAAGCGGAGTGAGAGGCACATTCAACTTCTCCCTTACAGTTATACTCATCCATATGTACACTGACAGGGACCAGCAGCCTATACATAGATTAGAAGCCACCCACAGAAAATGCAAGGCCAGTGAAGTAATTGGTCCCACTTCTGTTGGTGAGCAAGACAAGCTTTCAAGCCATACAGAGCTCTTTTTCAGGTCTGGGAAAAGTATGCAGAGCCTCACAGTAAAATGCAAGGTGAAATGGATTGGTTAGCATAACCAGTTAGCACAAATAAGGGACCATTCAAAGTACAGTGGCGCATTAACATCTCTACAGTCATAGGACAAAAAGAAGGGGTTAGTGAGTTACAGATTGTTGAAATAAAGCACAAATCCAGTGTCTCTGTTCAGTCCATGATTTTTAATGTCTAACACAATTATGAATTTAAGCTCCCAAGTTTGTCTTTTGAAAGTTATTCAGATTTTCTTTTAGGATGGGGCCTTAGTGAAAAAAGTCTCAGAGGGGAAGCCATTTTAGTCTAATTTTAGAAATAACGAGTAGCCCTGTGGCACCTTAGAGACTAACAAAAATATATATAGTAGCATGAGCTTTGGTGAACAAAACCCACTTCCTCAGCTGAGCTTGAGTGGAGAGAAAAACGCTTTGTGAAAAGCATTCACTTACAGTTGACAGGATGCTTTTCTCTTATTTTCCTCCAGGAGCTCATTCCAAAGTGTAGTCTAGTTTCACTCACAGTTGTTGTGGGGGCAGTTAGTGCACTGGATGAGGTGCAGCAGGTGTAATGATAGGCACGTGTAGGATCCATGGTTCTAGAAAGATTTGTGATTGATCATTGTAGACCTATCTCCATTGCTACAGGTTTGCATGATGTTCTGGCAGGGTCTGGATGCTGCTTTGAGTTGGTGCATCCTGGCCTGTGGGGAACTTGCAGTGTGGTATTGTGTGGCAATGATAGGAAAATAAGAGTGTCTTCATTTTCTCATCATCTGAAGCATCTTCCTCCATTCAGCAGGGTTTACAGCTTACAGAACTCTCACCTCCCTCAAACTCCCAGCAGAGGGCAGCAGAGCACTATGGCTCACTCTTGCTTCCACTGACTACCAGAACTCAGAGAAGAATGGGGTTGTTCATGTGCGTTTGTTTGTGTTTTTGTTTGGGAGACTGAAAAAAAATGTTTCATGTCAAACAAAATAGTTTGAGTCCCTTTGACATTAAGTTTTTTCTATTTGATGTGGCCTATTTGGGGTGTTTTTTACATCTTGGGGTGTTTATTACATCCTGTTTGGGGGTGATTTTTTAAAAAAAAGATTGGTAAATCTAAATCTAATATTGTCAGATGGGTAGCCATGTTAGTCTGTAATTAAAAAAAAAACTTAAAATAATGAATCGTCTTGCAGCAACCTTAGAGACTAACAAAACATATAGGCTACAGCTACACTGTAGCCTTCTTCAGGAAAAGCTTATGCAAATGAGGAAAAATGACTCTTGTGCAAGAGAGGGTTTTTGTGCAAAAAAGAGCTATCTACACAGCTCCATTTTGCGCAAAAATCTCTTGCACAAAAGTGGCTGCTAATTAATTATGCAAATGAAGCACAGTGATATTCCACACCGCGCCTCATTTGCATAAGTTTTTCCAGAAAAAGGCTACAGTGTAGACATAGCCGTAGATGATATCATGGGCTTTTGTGGGTACAGCCCACTTCTTCAGATGAAACCTGGCACAAAAGTGGCTGCTAATTAATTATGCAAATGAAGCACAGTGATATTCCACACCGCGCCTCATTTGCATAAGTTTTTCCAGAAAAAGGCTACAGTGTAGACATAGCCGTAGATGATATCATGGGCTTTTGTGGGTACAGCCCACTTCTTCAGATGAAACCTGAAATTTGAAGAAGTGGGTTGTGCCCACGAAAGCTCATGATACCAGCTATGTGTTTTGTTAGTCTCTAAGGTGCTGCAGAACTATTGGTTATTTTAAGTTTTTTCCTAATCTAGTATGTTATGAAACAAAAAGGCAAAACATTCTAAATGAAATACATTGAACATTATTTCACAATAGAACAATGGTGGAGAATTCAGATTTTCTCTCAGCCAAAGCTATTTGTCAGATTTGACCCAAATTCATAATTTTGGTGCACCAAAATGCATTTTTCAATGAAAAAAATGCATTGAAAAAAATTCACCCAGCTCCAGTCATGCATAACTTATCAAAATGTGGGTGGCTGTTTGCACTCAGATATGGGGCCGTGATTTCAGGGAAGGTTCACAGTTTTTCCTGTCCCATATGCAGCTATAAAAATGGATTGGGGACACTTTGTAATTATAATTACAATTACAATTGTAATTATAAAGTGAGGTTTCAGACAATGGCACAAAACTCAGCAAATGCTGAGACAGCAAACACCACTCAACTACATGATGACATGTGCTGTTTTGTATTACTGTGTTTCTGTTTTTCCTCAACCAAGTTTCTCCCACCTAAGAAAATTCTTACTTTCCTGGGATAATATATAGTATACACACATAAACATGTGTATATGTACATATAGGCAGCTATGTACAGACATTTGCCTAGCTTGGAATTTTTAAAATTCATACAAGTTTGGCATTATCTGAAGACTAAAAGCAACCTTAATTTTATCAGCTGAACATCACCTCTTCTTCCCTGCATTCTCAGTTTCCTGTTCCCCTCCTTTGTCTGTCCTTTCCCTTCTGTCCTCTCTTTTCAACATTTCTGTTCAACGTGTATCCCTTGGCTATCCACATTAGCATTGTGGGCTGCAATTTTCCTGTCAGCTATTCTAACCAGCTGTTTTGGGGTGGTGTGGGCCATGTGTTTTCTTTCTCTCTCCCTCCCCCCCACAGGATGTTTGTAGTTCAGCAGATCACCAAGAGTAACCTGCTGCTCGTGGTTACAGATGCTACCTGTGACTGCAGCATCTTCCCACCCGTCCTCCTGGAAGCAAAAGAAGTCAAATATATCCTTCTTCTAGCACAACCGTATTAGACTCTGCAGCCCTTTCGTCTGTTCTCCCACTGCAACAATTAGTCCCAGGAGAGTCCTGTAGCAGCTAGTGTGTGGAGAAGAGGAAAAAGCAGGGAGGTATGTCACCACATGTAATACAGCAGGACGCGCTGGTGTGGGTACAACAGGTGAGCATGGTGGAGGGAGCAAGAAGATAAACCCAGCAGGTTAGAGGTGTGGCTGAAAATGAAAATTTTAGCCACCTAAGAAATCTAACCCCAGTTAGAGCACACTTTAGAAGAGTGCTCTCCATTGTGATGAGCAGGGTGGGGTGCCAGCTGTTAACTGCATTGGGTAGATACCTGCACTCACACCCTGCACCCCTGCCAGCCACTGCGCCACACACCTGAGTGGAAAGGGAGCAGCAGCCTAATAGTGACTCCAGCAATGTGGAGTGGCCCATACAGGAGTGCAGGGGGATCTTTACATTCCCATCACTCCCTTGGGCTCCCTCATGACTGGGCTGTAACCTGTTAAAATTCAACACAGATGTTCCCTTCCAGTCAGTGCCTCTTACAAGTCACCTGCTTGCTAGGTAGGTAACAGAAGTTGGACACAACTCTCCCCTTGTGAGCTGGCCTCAGTTGGCATTTATCTATTTGTATGAGCTACAGCGGAAGGGCACGTTGCTCATGATGCTGGGAGTCTAGGGAACATGCCTAGCAATACTCCAGCCTTCCAGAGGCAGCAGCTTACTTAAATATGCAAGAGAACTTAATCTGGGAACTTCAGAAGCAATATGGGGGGCATGATGGTAATGTGTTGTTTTAAAGAGCACTAGCAGGTGACCGGAAAATGGCTCACAAACACTAATAAATTAAGTGCCCCCAGCTCTCCGGGAGGCAGGAAAGTTGTTAGCCACACTTTATAGATGGGGAAACTGAGGCACAAAAATACTGAGTTGCCCAAGCTCACTCAGGAAGCCTGTGGTTGAGGCAGGAGTTGAAACGTTATCATCTTGCACCGAATGCAAAGCCTTAACCACAAAATTTCCCTGCCACCCTCTGGTACAGAAAGTATAAAACTTCTGGCTCAGGATTGCGGGAAGCCACAGTAACTGGAAACATGACTTTCCAACTGTCCCCCCTAAGCGTAGTGGAGGAAGGCATACAAATTAAATGGGGGAGACTTCCATCCATTAACGCTGCACCTCTTTGAGCCCCCTCAGCAAGCTCCAGTGCAGTGGAATAGGAGAAGTAATGACTGTTGGCATGATTTGGGATGTTAACGAAAAGCCACAGTGGGGGGGAGCGGGGGCGGAGAGGGAGAACCCTGGAGCTGGGACTGGTAAGCCTAGGAAACAGACAGCCAGGAGAGTGGTGGGAGAACAGCTGAGAACAGTGAGCCCAGTTATTCTGCATCCAGATGAGTCACCTACAATAGCTGTTTCTTTAATTCAGTCTGGCAGGATCAGCCCCTGGCCCTTTCCTCATTAAATATGGTCACATTAAGCTTCCTGTCCCTACTATCCTGGCACCAGGAAGTAAAGCAGCTGAACATTTCTGCCGTCTTGGCCTCTGTTCCTTGCGCTCCCTCCCCAGCACAGCGCCAACCTGAGCTTTCTTTTCACAACCTTTTGCTTCCATACCGCAGCTTCTCTCTTTTTCCAGCCTGTCAGGATAGCCCTCCCATGTTGTGAGTTTGCCTCTGTCCCTGCTTCTCCTCCCCCAGTCCGAGTTCCTAGGACACAGGACTCAGTCCTGGCCTTGCTGGGCCGCCCAAGGGATTTCACAGTCTTTCGTCCGTGCTGCTTCTCTCCCTTTCTGAACACTACTGTTGATCTTAATGGCAATACACATAACGCTTCGGTGAAGTGCGACAGGATGCGCTCCCAGAAACTGAGGCGGCGGCCAGATACCTGCCATGCGTTCCACCCAGAGGTACGGTAGGGGCCACAGAACTGCGTGGCTGCGGATGGGGATAGGGTGGGGTGGCTGGGTGTTCAGCCTCATTCCCATTGCTACATGTAGTGCATCGGCTCAGAGCGGCCCAAGCGCTTGGGACTAGGTCAGGCTTTTCCAGTGAAGCAGCCTCCACGCCCTACGTTCCATGAGCCCCTTAACGTTGCTTCCCCGCTCCTGTCAGTGGAATGAATCATTTTATGTCCTTGTGACCCTGGACATAGATTTGCTGATCATGGGCCTCCTTCTCATTTGTCCTCAGGAGAATGCTCAGGACTGCGGTGGAGCTGCCGAGATCTCAGCCTCACTGCCGTTACTCCTCCTTGCGCTGGCGACCTTTGCTCTCCTCCTGCGGTGACAGCGTCTAACCCTGACCCTTACAGCTAGCAGAAAAAGTGGGTAATAAAAGGGAGTCCATTACTTCCATTGGACAGCCTGAGTGAGAAAGTTGGAGCTGTTAGGCGGGGAGGAGCCCACAGTGTAGGCATTTTGCAACTCCTTGTGGACCTGTGGGGACAAGGCATTAGAGACCCCTCACATACTGGCCTGTCTCTCTCTCTAGTTCAGTTGCTGGCAGTGGAAGCTGTTTCTTCCAGAAGAACTTGCAGCTTGAGTGCTGGCCACCACAGCTGTGGATCAAATGGATTAACTGTCAATGCAACAACCATTGGATAAGATGTGCCCAGCGGTGGGGCCAGTACCTGACCAACCGGAGGAGCTCATGAGAGAATTGGAGGTTCAGGAACATCTGATACCACTTCCAGTGGCTGGTTCTGACTCCATCATGCCTGGCACTTCCTCATTTACACGCCACTAGTGATGGAGTCTATACAGAGGCAGGGCGGGTTTTACCAGTGCTGCCCACTACATAAACAGAGCTCTTCAGAATATAAATCTGCCTTGTTATACCGCACCAGGCTGATTTACTGCGTAGGACAGTTGGAGCTGGGCACACATGGCCCTTCAGGAACAGCAGAATTGAAAATATTTTATTTACTGTGCACATTGCTCTTTGGGATTAAGGATTTTCAGCACCCTGGCTACCTACTGGTTATGGGGCATGGGGGGGAGAGGGAGAGAGGGAGGGGAAGCCAGTGAAGAACAGGGCAACAGGAAAGGAAAAATGCCTCATTGGAGGTTCTGCACAAGAAGGTGGTTCCTTGAGACCAGATTCCCCGCATCATTGTTACACAATTCATGATCTGGCTTATACTAACTGAGAAGAGGAAGTAGCACAGCTCGGCTAATTATACTTATTCCAGCAAAAACTGGCCCCGAGCTTTGGGCCCCAGAAGTGACTTCTCTTAAACAGTGTTCAAATCCTCTTGAAATTCTAACAAGCCTGCACCAAAAAAGGAAAGTCACCTGCCTGTGTGTTAAACTCACAAAATGAAACCACCCCTCCTGCATCGGGACCTACTTCAAGAAAGAAAAAAAGAGACAGGAAGTGGGGTTTGTGCTGCCAGTCTTCTCTCTCTGCTGAAGTAGCTAAGAAACAAGCGTTATCCCCAGAGCTGTGCTCAACACTGCTGAGGCCTCAGGCTGGGCTGGAGACAGCAGTGGCCGCCTGTTAATGGATTCTGGCTGTTCCCAGGTGCCAGGCCCATGTTTCCAGGAATTACAAACAATGCTTGAGGAGGAGGGAACAAGATTTTTCTTCTTTTTTAAATAAAGTGCTTGCCATTGTCTCTAAAAACAGATCGATGGCCTATTTTAAACCGAATTTAAGGCGTGACGTGTTCTACTTGGGACCAATCTCAGCCTTGTAAGTCCAAACAGCCCCAGGCCACTAGTGGCGACAACAACCAGAGCAGAGCCTATGACATGGGAGCAATTGAGCTGTGTAACCCCTACAGCTGCACTGGCAGTTTGCCAGGCACTCAAGGGATGAGCCTGAGCTGCCTAAAATGGAACCGATGGCAGCCGCTTTACTTAGCAACACACCCATGGAGACTACATCTCCCAACATGCAGTGCTCTCAGTTGAGCCAAGGAGCCATGCTCTGTTGGGGCTTCAGAGGGCTGCCATCATACAAATAAAACAAAGGAGGCAAAATGATGAAAGCACAAGCCAGCAATGAGCATTGTTAATTCTACCATGTGCTCCCACTTCCCATCACTCCCCATTATGTGCTGTCTCTCTTGCTCCATCTGTCCCTGAGCCAGCGCCTGCCCCTTTCAAAAAGGGCCCGCCTTCCCCATTGTAGACCTTGGACAGGGCATGAAGGAATCAAAGAGGGAAAAAAGTAGCTAGTCAGACAGGAGCTGCCAGCATCTAAAGGAATCGTCATGAGGTTTGGTTTGAGGGGGAACCATGGGGGATGTGGGGACAGAGACCTCCTGACCTCTCCTGCCACTATCCCCAGGCTCTGAAGGCAGCTGCAGCTGCTTCTCCTGTAGCAAAAACGTCCAGCCTGCCCTGGCATGGCAGGGGAGAGGAAGGGAGGTGCCCATTCCCTGCCCCTACTCTGGCCAGGTTCATCTGTTTCCCCTGCACAAAGCTCCTGTAGTGTTTTAAACTAGTAACAGGGCATTTTTCTGTGGTGCAGTGATAAATATTTCAAGAGCATTTCCCTTTGTCCCCATCCGGGCTGCTACTGTGAGTGATGGAAGAGGCCTCTGGGGTTTTAATTACTAACCTGCAGCACCATTTGGCCAGTGCTGGATGCTCTTTTGTCTGGGATTCCCTGCTGCCTACAGGGAAGGGAACATGATTAAACTAGTAACAGGGCATTTTTCTGTGGTGCAGTGATAAATATTTCAAGAGCATTTCCCTTTGTCCCCATCCGGGCTGCTACTGTGAGTGATGGAAGAGGCCTCTGGGGTTTTAATTACTAACCTGCAGCACCATTTGGCCAGTGCTGGATGCTCTTTTGTCTGGGATTCCCTGCTGCCTACAGGGAAGGGAACATGATTTATAGACCCACTGTTAATGTTGTGACAGCCAGGCTGACGGGGGG